CGGCCTCCTGCACCGTCAGGCGACCCAAGCTTCCGGAGAGATTCAGCTCCTGGAGCGGATCACCGATCACCCTCAACTCGGCCAACGTCTGCATCGCCGGCTGCATGCAGATGGATCTGTTCCTGCAGGCGCTGCAACAAGCATGCAAGGGAGACGGCTTTCTCCACCGATTTCTTCTGGTATCCCCATGCCAGTGCTGCCAATGCCGCAAGACACTGCAGAAGCTGCAGCTCAGTTCACCGCCGCCGGATATCACGAGCCAGCGCGCATCGCCATCAAAGTATACGATTGCCATCATGACATAGAAGACGTCGACGAAATTCAATACAGTTTCTGTCCGGATGCCGAGCAATACCTCACTAACATCATCCCGGCCGCACGTATCAACTTTAACGAGCAGGTGAGCAGCGGTGAACCGGTAACCGATGTCAAAAGCATTGATCGAGCTGATTGTACGGATCGCTGCCATTCTCCACATATTGGACCATTGTGTTCGAGACGAACTCCCCACAGCTATACCAACAACCATCCCCGTCGACAACGTCAAGCGTGCGCAACGACTCGTTCAGTACAGCAACTCGATTTTCAACCTTCTATGGGGTTTCATCGAGGACATGAGCAAAGCTCCTTCTGCTGATGAAGATGCTGCCGACGACGCCGCTATAAAATCCATACTGCTCTTCCCGGGACCAACAGTTCGCATTCGCGAACTCCAGCGCTTCGGTGCTGGGCTCATTCGCACTATGAAGGCAGCAGCTATACGGAAAACATTTGAGGAGATGGAGCGCCAAGCACTTAATTGGCACCTATGAGCGGGGCCGTGCGATCTTGACGAAAGCTGCTCCAATGCATCTACGCATCGACCTCCGGCGTTACAACATCGAGCCGCACCACTATATTTATGCCTATTCCGCAAATATACATGAAGCCACGCGCGCCTATCTTCTGCGCACTGGGGGCATACCATGATTCATGCTCGTGATGTCATACATAATTGACGTGTCAATAAACTGTATGATATCTGTCGTGTGAAAACAATATCAATGTCTTCCTTCTATTCATTGTTTGCCCTGTACTGCTCTGCAACCATGCTCGCACATACAAATTCACATGCATATGCTGACGCAAACACATAAACGCGAATACAACTACAGATGCACATCGAATCACTCAAACACGCTACACCATCAACAATCGACATCAGGTACTTCACTAACCGTACTGTAATAGAGCAGCTGATTCATTCTTGCAATACACGCGAGCCTACTCGCTACTACGTGGGTATATGACAGCAGATCAGGCTCGTCTTTAATTATTTACAAGCATGCCTTTAATTAATTAAATGCGTGTATGTAAAGTTACAAGCATGCACGTAATTAATTAAATTCGTGTATGTAAAGATACATGCATGCTTGTAATTCCAACCAATCAGACAAAGTCTTACAAATAATTAAACGCGTGTAGGTGCAGCCGTAAAGTTACAAGCGTGCACGTAATTCCAACCAATCAGACTCGCGTGTTGGAAAACGCCGGTACCCTGGGTCTTATTCCAGGCCGGGTACAGGAAGATAATTGTTGCTTTAGCGATCTCACGTGCAGAAGTGTGAAGCATGGTTGAGGTGGTGGGAGAAGGAGGAGGAGAAGAGGGAGCATAGCTTGGCTGGAGAAGGAGGGGGGGAAACAAGGTTGGGAAAAAGAAGGGAGTGCGTGGGAGGATTTGAGGGAGAATGGGAGAAGCTCGGCTGGAGAAGAGGAGCGGGAGAACGCTGGTGTGAGAAGCGAGGAGGGTGAGAAGCGTGGGAAAGAAGGGAGCTTGTGTGGAGGATGAGCGGGGAGATGAAGGGAGAGCTGCTTGGAGAAGGAGTGAGGCCGTGAGGGGAGGAAGCTGGTTCAAAGCTTCCTCGCTCTTCCACCAGCTTTCTCCTCCACAGTTCTCCGCTTCTCCCCCTCCTACTTTTCTCCACCAGCTTCTTCCCCTTCTTTCTCCCCTTCCTCCTTCTTCCACCAGGCCTTCTTCCCATCCTCCTTCTCACCAGCTTCTCCCTTCTTCCCCCTCCTCCTCACCAGCTCCCTTCTCTTTCTCCTTCTCCCCTTCCTCCTTCTCACCAGCTTCTCCCCTCCTCTTCTCACCACCTTCTCATTACTCCCTTCCTCTTCCTCCTTCCAGCTTTTCCCCTCCTTTCCTTCGTCCACCAGCTTCTCCCTTCTTCCCTTACTCATTCTCCACAGGCTTCTCCCCCTCTCCTTTCTCCACCACGCTTCTCCCTGTCTCCCCTTCCTCACTTCTCACCAGTCTTCTCCCCCTCCTCCTTCTCCACAGCTTTCTCCCCTCCTTCCTTCTCCACACCTTTTCCCTTCTCCCTCCTCATTCTCCACCAGCTTTCTCCCTCTCCTTCTCCCACCAGCTTCTCTCCTCGTCCCTTCTCACCACCGTTACCATGCTGTTCACACTTCTGCAACGTGAGATCTAATGCCAAATTAATCTCCTTGTTACCGGCCTGATATATGACAAGCGTTTCACCACGCTGAGTCTGATTGGTTGGCATTACGTGCATGTTGTAACCTTTACATTACTACCGGTTTACTTATTTGTTAGACTTTTGTCTGGATTCGGTTGAGAATTACAACGCAGTGCCATTTATCTTTACATACACCGCATTTAATTAATTACGTGCAGCTTCTGTAACTTTACATACACGCCATTTAATAAATTAAAGGAATGCTGTAAATAATTAAGCGAGCCTGGATCTGCTCGCTGCCTACCTCTAAGCGCTCATCCGCTATTCCTGCATCGCCCGCACCGCGACCGTCGCCTTTTTCATATCACTAGCTGACCGCCGCCTACGCCCGCCGGTCCGCCTTAGCTCGACTGTTGATGCCATGTCGTTACCAGGGTGCCACGTCAGTAGCTGTCATGTGTAACGGTGCTTCATATGGCAGAGTTTAGTTATGTTCAGGCACATGTCTTGGTCTTTTTCATGGTTGACGACTGTCAACTAACACATACATGTCGCTCATCCTCGCCCTCTCACGCTACACATTAACCATTTGTTTGGCAATACACAGTGAAATCACACACCCACACAGGAATGTTTTATTGTATGCTATGTACTGGTTGATTGATACGGACTCCTAAATCTGAATATAGATAGATGTGAATGGGTTATAAAACGTAAATGTATATTACGTGCTTCGCATGTTTCCATGTGTCGTCGGACAGGCTAATATTTGCAGTCGTTGTGATCGCTGTACTTCTACGCATGTTTTGCACTCTGTGCGGATCGACGTTAATATTACGTGCTTGTGATGCGGACCCGCTTTGTGACAGAATCGGTGTTCAACGACCCCCCCCACCCGTTACACTGCTACGCATTGCAGACTTCCAAAAAAAAACTGCTTCTGATGAAATTCAACTTGCTACATCTCATAATGGGGAAACTTATGGCCAAATGCTCTGATATTTAACTTCAGTTATTACATGGTTTATTTTCTACTTACATTATGGCGGCTTCACAAATCTCAGACACACAGACACAGAACCAGAGATACACAGAACAACACGAAATGAAAACCTGTTGAAACAAAACGTAAATACAAACAGAACGATAAACAAAACAGCGCCCCCTATTTTCAGTGAATGTTTACTTTTTTTGTGCTTTTTTTTTGTCTTTTTTAGACCGAACAAAACGGTTTTCAACCGAGTATAGTTTAGAAACCGTCCCGTGTACTCCATCGATCTTCTTCTTAAAATTTTGGCGCTATTTGGATCCAAAACTGACGGGAGCTTTCATTACATACATAACAATCATTCGCCAAATTATTTAGTAAGATGCGAAAGAGTATATATATCTATGCAATAATATACATCCGCACTGATTTGTGCCGTCGCTAAGGACTTTATATTCATACGCTGATGCCACTGCGTCTTACACTTCTAAACCTTTACAAGTATATACATGCTATATATTGCCGTTCTCTGGAACAGAAGCGATATATATTTCATATATAAATTCGCATCCCGCAAGTGTCCTGGTACGTCGCCACGCTTTTATATCCATGCATTCAGTCGCAGGTAGTCGCAAGCACTTTGCCACAATTCCCCAAGTAATTATAGGAACTATACGCCGCTTTCTCGGCCAAACATAACGATATATATATCAAATAATATACCCTACTCGCGATCTTCACACATCCACAGAGCCCCCCTCCCCCCCCCCCCCCACCCCCCCCCCCCCCCCCCCCCCCTGTCAAAGCTGTGTGATCGCAGAGGTTTATATACATGCATAGGAAAGTAACGTAGTCGCAGTCGCCAGATCGTCCAGGCCAGAGAGAGAGAGATGAGAGAGGGGGGAGGGGAGGGTGGAGGCTGTGTATAGTGTGTGTATGTGTGTGTATATTGTGCGTATATGTGGTGTATATATGTGGTATCCCGCATTATAATATATATATCCTATATATACCATATATATCATACTATACTATACATGTTGTGGCATATGTGTTATATATGATCTTAGTATTATATATCTGTATTATATATGTATATATATATTATATATGTATATACACATAGTATATATCTACTATATATACTATCTTATATATATCCAAGTCGCATATATAGCAGTGGTACATTAGTGGGCGCCATCTATCGGGCAGAAAAAAATCATCTTTTAATTCTAGGCACCCGATGTTCTCTACTCCTTGGGCCCAATGCTACACTAATCACTCACTGTATATGTTAATAAACACAGCCTCAGTGACATCAATAATAATATAACGCATATTCTATTATCAGAAAATGCCAAATACCTTGTAAAATTTGATACTAGTACACAAATGATAGTGTTCTCTCCACTGATCTCTATGATTATGAATCGCAAAAGATAATTAAAAGATCGATATGTATAGAGCATCAGGCTGGATGTTTCTTCCGTCTACAAAATGAATCGCGCGATCGCAGCGCCATTGATCAGCTTCCGGCGGAACACAGCAAACAA